GTGGTGCTGGAGTCCATGCTTTGTGCATGTCCTAAACTGCCAGGAAGATAAATAGGTGGGTCCTAGATCAAATCAAGCCTGAACAATCTCTGGAGACAAAAAAGGCTGAAGCTGAAGTGGTCCTACTTTGGGTCCATCCTGAGAAGGCAGGATTCTCCGGAAAAGGTAATCATGCTGGGAAAGGTGGAAGGCAACAGGAAAAGAGGAGGACCAAATATAGGAGATGGACTGACTCCCTAAAGAAACCACAGGCTTGAGTTTGCAAGAACTGAGCAGGGCTCTGGAGGAGACAGAAGAGTCTGGAGATCACATGTTGCTTTTAAATGAGTTTTTACTGTTGATTTTATTTAAATAAAATTACTAAATCAATACTAAAATCACATTCAAAACACAGATGGTGACGCATTTTGCAACTGTGGTTCTGTGCACATAAATTTTACGTGCTAACAAGTCACCTTCAGTTTAGGGTAACCCCAGGAAGGAGAGATCGCTAGAAGTCTGGTAATCAGTAGCCATCCCAAGTCAGGTGTTACCAACTGAAAGCTGTGGCTTCCTTTATGGACTCAATCTTTCTCACATTTGGTCTTCCCCTCTTCCTGTTGTCTCCCATTTTTCAAATTATTTTTATCTTTTCCAGTGACTTCCCGTGATGCGCCCAAATCATAACCAGAGCAAAATTGTATTTATTTATTTATTGTCATTTGTATATCGTCTTTCTCCTGATAAGGGGAGCCCTCAGAACGGAAGTGACAGGGTGGAGGAATAAGATACATCCATGAGTGTAATTTAAATGATCCAAGTTGTGCAGACAACCGGATTCCCCAGTTTTACTGGTAGGATGGACAATGTAGAAGAGGCCAATTCCTTGCCTTGCGGAGTTTACAAGTAGAATATGACAAGTTGTGCACAAGTTCAGCGACACACCTGAGTTTGAGACACATTAAAACATGCCACCTGGAATCACAAACATTATGTAACATCTGACACAACTTTTATGGATGATTTGGTTCCCTTTTTCATCCCCAAGTTTTCTACCATCTCCACTGGCTCAAAAGATCTGGTGAAACTCAAAAGCTTGGTTCATCGTTTTTAAGGGATTCAGCAAAGGCACAGACTAGGCTGGAGTGTTGTTTGGAATGTGAGCATCTCTAATTATAATAATTTTAGAACTGCAGAGCTGAAAAGTACCCTAAGGATCAGCTAGTCAGCAGATGATTGGCAATACTGTACAGTATTCACTTCCTAGACAGGACTCAGCCACTCCTGGACAGCCCTTCTCCAATTCCAGGTTCTCCTAAGATATGTCTCATGCATCAAATGTGTGCAATCCTTGTGAATCTGGATACTGGTTTTGCCAAACTTACTTGCTTTATAGACCATGCAATTTGGCTCTTAGACAAAGGGGCCCGAATTCTGTTGTCCAGTTCAATGTTGGCAAGTTAAACTATGTAACATACTGAAGTGTTTTGCCTCTAACTAACAAGGCATTCGTTGAATTAGAGGTCGTCGCCAGAATCCTATTGGTGTTTGTGTAAGGTTTGTGTAACTCACTGTGATTCACCAATGTGGCACCAGAGTGCATAGTGTGCTGGGTCATGCACTTGATTGTGCTACAATAAAGCATGGTAAGTTAAACAAACCTTACGTGAACACCAACAGGATTCTGCTGGATTGATGCTATAGGCATACTTCAGTCTCGAAAGACTATGGTAGGATTCTGGCCAGGGAAGCAACTTACTGGGTGACTGCAGTGCAAATACTTACATAAAAAACAGAGAGACAAGAATTCAATAAGATAAAATTATTCATCAGTGAATCCAACAAAGCTCTAAGACAGTGAAGAGGGTCAGGGAGTCTTTGCTGATCTCAGGCACTCCCTCCTATCCACCCAGATCTGGGCCTTAAAAAGATTTAAAGCAAAGTGTTGATAAAGGAAGAATATAAACCATTACAATTTGTGTCATTCCTTTTTCTGGGTCACATTTGTTAATGTATTGGCTTTATTGTTGTTATATGCCATCAAGTCAGAAGTTTTACCAGTTCTATTCCCCCAGTGAGCTTCCATTGCTGAGAGGAGACTCAAATCCAAGCCTCCTGAATACTAATCTTGTCATTCTGTCAACTACTACACCACACTGGGCAAATGCATCAGCTTTAGCTTTCTTTTTTTCCCCTGGTTTTACAAAGCTGAGGCCAATACAGTACAAGATTTTATTCTAGTCTTAAGCCTTAAGCTTGTGTGTGCGCGAGTGTGTATAATTCAATTTCCAAAAGAAAATTCATCAACACAGGGCTGGCAATACTACTAAGCAGTATTTGATTCTGTTTCATGATTTCATTTCAAGGCACTCACTTAACTTTGCTTTTTGTTGTTTTTTAGGTGTATACTGCAAACAAACAATAAACAAGGTAAATATACATGCTGATTAGGACAAATCCAGCATTACTGTATGGCCAATTTTTTTATCAGAAGTAGTGAATACTTCTCAACAAATCATTCAAATTTGGAGTCCAGGTGGTTTCCTCATTGCAGTTTATAATACATTATTGAAACATCTTTCCCACATATTAAGACCCAAAGAAATGGCTGCAGTTCTTTCAGTTGCTTTCTCTAATTCCTCTTCCTTTCCCTCACAGGCTTCTGGACTAGACTGAAAATTTGCTGTATAAAACACATTCACACACTATGTCACCAGCTTACTGGGAGTCATGAAGTGACCCATCATATCCTGTATTTACAAACCTATTGTTCTAAGAGCAGGTAATATCACAATGAACAGGTCAGAAAAGGAGTTTCTTCCCCTGAGTTTGCACCTGTTCACCAACAGGAAAGCATACTGAGATGTAGGGCAGGAAGATGTTGAAAGCGCTGGCTGTATAAACTGGCTTAAGAACGACTTTTAGTGAAAAGGAGGGAGGAGAAGTTAAAGACCGAGATGAGTAAATTCTCCTCCAGAATGTCTCCTTAGAAACTCTTACAGTGGTTTTCAGGCAAATAGACTGCACTTTCCGTAAACTGGAAATATTGCAGGCATCTTGTATTTATACTGGTGCAAAGATAATACATGTGAGAAATGGTTTATAAAAGGTAGCTGTGTCAGGCAAAAACCGAACAAAAAATAAAGACAAAAACGTTGTGGCACCTAAATGTTTTATAAAAGGTAGCTGCGTCAGGCAAAAACTGAACAAAAAAATAAAGACGACAAAAACGTCGTGGCACCTTAAAAACTGCTATATTTCAGTGTGAGCTTTCCTGGACAAGTCCACTTTTTCTGTTGTCTTTATTTTTTCTTTTTCTTTTGTTTTTTCCGTTGTCTTTATTTTTTATTTTTCTTTTGTTTTTGCCATGTGGAAGCTAAGCACCAACTTCTGGTACAGGAGACCAAGAAAATACAGAGATGGGATCTTGAGGTGGCATCTCCTGCTTATCTAGGCTTCTGAGGAAGGTGTGGGATGAAGGAAAGTCTGCCTGATCAGTGCTGTCCTCTGAAGATGCCGGCCACAGAGACTGGCAAAATGTTAGGAATAACAACCTCCAGAATATGGCCAAAGAGCCCAAAAAAACCACAACAATCATCTACCTGATCAGTTTATGACTCTGTAACTCAAGGTTTCGTGTGGCATGTGATACTCACGTGTCTAACCAAATGCAGCCTTAGCGAATTGTTTCAAGGCACATTTACTTCTTCCTACATTTTTCTTCTCCACAATTGCTTCTATCTTCCCCCCCCCCATGGGCTTCCCAGTGATCAGCACAGGATTTGGGGTAGCCTAACTCCTTTCATATTCCACATCATAACCAGAGGGTGCATTGACCATTAAAAATGCCCTTGCTCTGGCCGTAAGACCTGCGTGTTGAACATTTGGGATTCATCCATTTCCCATGCTCTGCCCTTTCAAAGAGCTTACGTCTTGGGTGGAGGTTTTGGTGGTTTGCTCCAGACGACTAGTCAAGGGGGCACATTCCAAATTCAGATCACTAATGAGACTTCTCTCTTCTAAGCACATTCAGATGTCAATTCTCAGACCCTAGAGGAAGACAAGATTTTTTCCAATTTCCACACGATGCAGTGGCTAAACTGCAGTACTGCAGTCAAGACTCTGCTCGGAACTTAAGCTTGATCAGAACAGGCTCAGGTAGCTGGCTCAAGGTTGACTCAGCCTTCAATTCCTCTGAGGATGGTAAACTGAGTCACCCTGTTGTGGCGAGGAAAGCAATATATTGCCTGCAGAATTAAACTGTAAACTGCCCAAAGAGTTCATAAGCAGCACACTTTGTTTTTCCTTTTTTGAGTAGGCTTGCCCCTTGGAATATGTTTTCTGGCATCTCTTTAAAATGCACAGACTGAGGAAAATGTTTCCCACACCGGAAGCTCTTTTAGGCTTCTCTCCACCATGGAGATGTAAGTGCTGCCCAAATATTAAGTTGCAAGGAAACATTTTCTCACATGACATACATTTTATAGGGTCCCTTCGTGTAAGAACCCTTACATTTTTGGAAATCAAGCTTTTTCTCACTTTTCTGTTTTATGTAGGTTTCCAGGAGAATCACAAGTCAGGCCTTAGTAAGCAAGATATTTCCCAAATGACTGGCTTATGTATGATTTTCCCCTTGTGTGGATTTTTCTTGAGCCTGACATTGTCTAGCTTTGGGGAAAACATTTCCAACTCTCTTGGCATACATATGGTTCCTCTCTCCTCTGGTGAATCTCTCATGCTTCATGTGAAAGCAAAACAATTCCTCCCAAACAAGCTATCTGAACAGATACTGTCAAATGTGGACTCTCACATAATTCACAGGATTTGAATTCAAAGCAGAACATGTCCTGCTCTATGTGGATTTCCGTGTTTTTGCTCCTGTGTGGACTCTCTGATGGGTCACAAGGTTTGAATTCTGAGCAAAACATTTTCCACACTGTGGGCATTTGTATGGTTTCTCTCCTGTGTGGACTCTCTGGTGAGTAATAAGGTATGAATTCTGTGAAAAACATTTCCCACACTCCAAACATTTGTATGGTTTTTCTCCTGTGTGAACTCTCTGATGCCTCAAAAGAGTTGAGTTGCAAGTAAAACATTTCCCACACTCCAAACATTTGTATGGTTTTTCTCCTGTGTGAACTCTCTGATGCCTCAAAAGAGTTGAGTTGCAAGTAAAACATTTCCCACATTCTGGGCATTTGTGTGGTTTTTCTCCTGGACGGAATCTTTGATGGATAAAAAGGTTTGAATTCTGAGCAAAATCTTTCCCACAATCCAGGCACTGGTATGGTCTATCCTCTGTGTACAGTTTTTGATGTGTTTCAAGTGGTAAATAGTCAGCAAAGCATTTCACACATCCCTGGTATTTATATGGTTCCTCACCTACATGGAGTCTCTGGTGGCCCATAAGGTGGGAATTCTGAGCAAAGCATTTCCCACACACCTGGCATTTGTATGGTTTCTCTCCTGTGTGGATTCTCTGGTGAGTTACAAGGTCTGACTTGTGAGCAAAACACTTCCCACACTCCTGGCACTGGTATGGTTTCTCTCCGGTGTGGACTCTCTGATGGCTCACAAGATGTGAATTCTGAGAAAAACATTTCCCACACTCCTGGCATTGGTAGGGTTTCTCTCCTGTATGGATTCTCTGATGAGTCACAAGATCTGATTTGTGAGCAAAACATTTCCCACATTCTGTGCATTTGTATGGTTTCTCTCCTGTGTGGACTTTGTGATGTGTCATAAGTTCTGCCTTCCGAACAAAACATTTGCCACACTCCATGCACTTGTATGGTTTTTCTCCTGTATGGACCTTCTGATGTTTCCCAAGATGGGAATTGTGAGCAAAACATTTCCCACATGCTTGGCATTTATATGGTTTTTCTCCTTTGTGTATTCTTTGATGAATCAGAAGGGTTGAATTCTGAGCAAAATATTTTCCACACTCCTGACATTTGTAAGGTTTCTCTCCCGTGTGAACTCTCTGATGTGTCCCAAGTTGTGACTTCCGGGCAAAACATTTCCCACACTCAAGACATTTATATGGTTTATCTCCTGTATGGATTTGTTGATGAGTCACAAGGTTTGAAACCCGACCAAAACATTTCCCACACTCCTGGCATTCGTATGGCTTCTCTCCTGTGTGAACAACGCGATGCTTCAGAAGCTGTGATTTGTGTGCAAAATATTTTCCGCACTCTTGGCATTTGTGGGACTGCCGTCTGGCATAACTTTCTTTTTCTGTATGCATTCTCTGGTGTCTGGCAAGGCTCAGTTTGTATATAAAAGACTTCCCACATTTGGCACATAGATTTATTTTCCTCCGGGTATCTGCTTGGGAAAAAGCAAGAACAGAAGAGTGAATGTTAAGCCCGAGAGAGAAAGAAATTCAGGTACTGCAGAGAGACTCAGCTATTAAGATTTGGGAAGCAGGGGCAGAATACAGTATTGAAAAGAAAGTAAGCAAGCTGTGTAACTCTTCTCCTTTCCTGGATGTCTGGAAATTGCATTGTGATCACTTAAGTTCCAGGTGAAGGGTTTATTTTTATTCCACAATGCTTTTAAAAAATAATTTTGTCAGGGCTTTTAGATCTTAGCATAATTGCTTGGTGATTTCAATTTAGCTTCATGTGCATCATATTTTTATTCTTTGCTGCTGGTGGTATCTTGGCTCTATTTCTTTCTCTAACTACTCTATTATTTGGATTTTGTACTTTTCAGACAAACAGATACAGATTATCTGTAATGTGTGTGTGTGTGTGTTTGTATTTCTAAACTACACTAAATAAAATCAGCTGAAGAACCCTAATCTGGATAGAACACTTGGACACTAAACCTAGATAGAACACTTGGACACTAATCTGGATAGAACATAGCACCACTGCTTAGAGTCATGGCATCCGAAGTCAAAATACTTCTGATTAGAGATGGGCACAAACTAAATAATGAGCCAGGACGTTCATCAAAACTGACAAACCTGAACTGAGCCGAACTACAACCTTTTTTTTCATGAACTTCCTGGTTTGTTCTCTCCCTTTCCACAGCCCTGGTCGCCTCCCTACCTGGTCCTGTTGTCTTCTCTTCTTTATCCTCCACGTCTGCCACTATCTCGAGACAGAGCAGGCCTGGCTTTTCCTTCCAGGAGCTGGGCCTGCCATCTCTGTGCACACCCCTGCCTCTCAGCTGATAGCACGGTGTATGTGCAGAGACTTCTGGAAGGGAAGCTCAGCCTGTCTGTCTCTCAAGATGGCAGCGGCGATGGCAGAGAAGGACCAGGTATGGAGGTGGTGGGAGCAGTAGGCTGGATGTGGGACCGCTAATGGGCTATTCAGTGCCACAGGGTGCCAGATCAGGGCCTTGCAGCACCAGACCATCCATTTGCAGTTCTGGAGTAAGAGGAGGAGGAGGTGGTGGAAGGACAAGTTAAGAAGGTAATGGGGGGAGTGGAATTGAGGTTGGGGGTTGGAGAGTTCAGTTCCTCCTCCCTCCAGGCACTAACAAAAAACAAAGTGATTCATGCTTCCTATTTTTAAAAAGTTCAGACACAAACCCCCAATTTTTTGGTTCGTGGCCACCTTTCTTTCTGGTGATGCTGAATCTTCAGTACAAAACGAAGCATGCAAAGAAGCATCTATCATAATAGTTTTCCTGGACAACTGACCACAGTGTTTTTGTCTTTTGTTGGATCAAGCAGGCATACCTGATGAGATACCTGGTCTGGTAATAGCCAAGATTCCTGCTTCATCAAAGTCTGGCAATTCTGGCACCCACAGCTCCTCCCCATGCTCCATGTTAGAAAGAAGCTCAGGCTTTGGAACTGGAAATTAAGTTTCATAAAGAACGTAACAGCGAGGATCAGGGGAAATGCATGTGTTTCTCTGCATTCCTCTACTTCTTCAAAAGAACATTAAACATCACAATAAATCATAATCATAAATTCATAATCAATTCTGACTTATGATAACCCTTTTCAGGGTGTTCCAGGGAGAGATAACTCAGAAGTGGTTTCCTCTTCCCTTCTTCTCCTGGGGTATTTCTGGGATTGCGCAGCTTGCCGAGGGCTGCATAGGTTGGCTCTTCTCCTGGGAGCCCCAGTGGGGGAATCGAACTCCCAACCCCTGGCTCCACAGCCAGCTACCCAAACCACTGAGTCATCCAACCAGCTCTTTAAAAAGCATATACATACAATTTTTAAAAAATGAACCTGAAGTGTTTTAAATCCCCCTTTGGATGCAGTGGGCTGTCATTTGCCACCTAGACTACAGTGAAAGCCATAAGGGAGCGAGTTCTTCTGTAGAAGCACTGCTTCTGTGGAAGCAGGAAAAGACCTTTCTCTTCAGGTGGACTTTCTCCCCTGTCCAACTGGCCATTTTGGGTAACGTGTGGATTGAGCTACAAAGGGTCTGCTGAGGTGGAAACAATGTGCCATTTGGTGTGCTTTTCCTGAATGAACAGTAAATGATTCTTTGTAGCCCAATCACCTGTCAATAAAGTGCTTCTCCTGGTCATCTGCAGAGGGTCAGGGGAAGGTTTTTTTTTTTAAAAAAACATTGCTCCTCTCTCCCTCTGTTGATACCATTCCATTTTTTTCCTCTTCCCCCCTCCCTGCTTTCCTTCCCTTATTCTTCCCCCCACCTTCTTTCTTAAATTCTCCCTCAGAATCTGCAACTGCTGGAGGCTGCTATATCCTGACTAATGAGCATGCCAAAAAGAATGCATGCTCTACCGCTGGGCCAGAAAGGCACATTACAACTTTCAAAGGGGAACGATGGATCGATCAATTCAGACCAGAAATTCCTTACCAAGAGTGGACACATTTTCATAGTTTTCCATCATGACCTCCCTGTACAAGAATCTCTGGCCCAGATCCAGCAGGTCCCATTCCTCCTTGGTGAAATACACGGCTACCTCCTCAAAGGTTACAGGTTCCTGCAACCATAAAACAGATCATATTCAGACAAATGAACCAAATATGATAGAAAAGGACTTGGCACAGCTCTAACGTAGCTTGAGGTCTTCAGAATACAGAAGGGGCAAACCTGCTCTAAACATCCCCCCATTAATAGTCCACACAGAGAAAGGCAGCACATAAGGAAGAAGGCAAAGCTCCAAACCTTTCTTTTAAAATGTGGTTTTCTTGAACAAGGGGATAATTTTCACATATGTCACCCTGATCTGCATTTTGAACTGACAATCTGAAGAGGCATCTACATAATTTTTCCCCAGGAAGAAGGGCAACATAGTGTTCTTGCACACATTATGTATCTGTGTATCTCGCAGAACCTGTTGCCATAACGCACCTGCTCATTTTATGTGTGCACACACAAGCATTTGAGCATCGCTTTCCATTATTATTTATTTATTATTATTTATTTAATTTATATGCCACCCACACTACCCATGGCTTGAAGAGCGGGATGAGCGCCGCCCCCTAGAGTCAGACATGACTGGACAAAAATTGTCAAGGGGAACCTTTACCTTTACCTTTACCACACTAGCCAAAGGTCTCTGGGAGGGTTACAACATTTAAAATACAATAAAAATTCAGAACAATTAAAATGCAATTAAAGTATGTATAAAAATTGCCATCGAACCCACAGCTAATATTATTTCAATTAAAAGCCTTCTGGAACAGGAAGGTTTTGACCTGGTGCCGAAATGTCATCAGTGTCGGCACCAGACGAATCTCAGTCGGGAGGGCATTCCATAGTCTGGGGGCAGCTGCCGAAAATGCCCTTTGTCTACAAGCCGTCCCTCTTACCTCCTTAGGGGACAGCTCTTTCAAAAGGGCCCCCTAGCTAGATCTTAACTGCCGGGTAGGTTCATATGGGAGGAGGCGGTCCTTCAGGTATCCAGGGCCCAAGCCGTTTAGGGCTTTATACTGTATGTCAAAACAAGACATTACATCTAGAAGTCCACATACCATGGGAGTTAAATACCTAGAATTCCTAACCTCCAGTATGAATGCAGAATCTAAGAGGCATTATGAACAAAGGTTTATGTGTATTGAGGGACATAACAAAAAAGCTAAATGAATGAACACAACACTTAGGAACAGAATGGGTGTCTTCTGGTATCACCACCCTGCATGTGATCCAACCATCCACCCATTCATTCAGTGTCATTTGTAGACTGCCTTTCTCACAATGAGGGGATATTTAAGAAAAACCAGTGGGCTCTCCTATACTTAAACTGGCAAGCCACTGTGATTGAACAATGAGGCCAAAACAGAATTTTTGTTGCTGCAAAATGAGTTGTCATCACACTAGCTAATTAGCTCATTGATGACAGGACATCTGTACTATCACCCCATGACTGTTTATTAATAACTGCTGTTACGATAATGACTAACATTTGTGCATTTTGCATTTTCAACCCTCTCTCATGTTACTCAGGCCCCATCTTGAAGACAGCTAGGGGTCCCAACAAGAGAACAAATCTGAGAAAGCAGCAAGAAGATGGCTCAGATGCAGGTCTTTGTCCCATACAGGGCAGGAAATGTCAACTGCTTGGAAAATGGGATGCTGGGAATATCTTTATGGTACTAACAGAGCTTCTTTTAAAGCAGGGGTCTCAAACTCAATTTACCTGGGGGCCGCTGGAGGCAGAGTCTGGGCCGCATTCATACAGTCTGTACTGTATTTCTGTTTAGTGCTTCCATTCCCATCACATATCTATCAGCAGCTACAGCAAATCCCATACCTGGGCTTCTTCCACTGTAGCCATGCTCTCTCTTTTCTTGCTTCTTGGTGGAAATGGACACTCCATGGTGCATGCTTCAAAGGAGAAAAGTGAGAGATGGACAACACTTCAGAATGGTAGCCTTCTGAATGAGACATGATGTCTTGTCTGGGTTGGAAAAGTGTGATTTATAGTTTAGTCCTAACTAGATATGGCCAGCTCCTGAAGCTGAGGCTCCAGTACTTTGGCCATCTCATGAGAAGACTCCCTGGAAAAGACCCTGGTGTTTGTGAGGGCAAGAAGAGAAGGGGACGACAGAGGAGGAGATGGTTGGACAGTGTCACCGAAGCAACCAACATGAATTTGACACAACTCCGGGAGGCAGTGGAAGACAGGAGGGCCTGGCGTGCTCTGTTCCATGGGGTCATGAAGAGTCGGACACGACTTAACGACTAAACAATAACTACAATGAGCGGTCGTTTCAACCAGATAGGCAGGGTATAAATACAATCAAGCAATGAGCGGTCGTTTTGACCAGATAGGCAGGGTATAAATACAATCAATCAATCAATCAATCAATCAATACAAGATATGGCCAAGGGCCAGCTAAGCCAACACTAAGGCAACTGAAATTGTGCTG